GCTTGGAGCGGCTGCAAGGCAGGCAGGGCAGCGGCAGGAGCCGTCCGAGCGCCGAGAGCCGGCGCTGGCGACAATGGCGGGCGGGCGGAGGCAGAGGCGCGGGCCGGCCGGCGGGCGAGCGCTGCTGCTGCCCGCTGTGCTGCTGTGCCTGTGCTGCCGGGCGGCGCCGGAGCGGCTCCGCTACGCCATTCCCGAGGAGCTGCCCATAGGCTCGCTCGTGGGGCCGCTGGCACGGGACCTGGGGCTCAGCCCGGACGAGCTGCCGGCGCGCAAGCTGCGGCTCAGCGAGGACAAGCAATACTTCACTGTGAACGAGGAGAACGGGAACCTGTACGTGACTGAGAGGCTGGATCGGGAGGAGCTGTGCGGCGAGTCGGCGTCCTGCTCTGTCAGCTTCGAGGCGCTGGTGCACAACCCGCTCAATGTTTTCCACGTTGAGGTGGCCATTGAGGACGTGAATGACAACTCCCCGACCTTCAGCAAGGCTGCTCTGGACCTCGAGATTGGGGAATGGGTCCTTCCCGGCACTCGTTTTCCCCTGGAGATGGCCCGAGATGCGGACGTGGGCAGTAACTCTTTGCTGACTTACGAGCTCACCAGCAACCCGTCCTTCTCTCTGGCCCTAAAGGAGAATCCGGATGGAAGCAAGCAGCCGCAGTTAGTGCTGGAGAGAGCACTGGACCGGGAGAAGCAGAACTCCTTTGAGCTGGTGCTGACGGCAGTGGATGGTGGGGACCCCGCGAGATCCGGGACTGTTCAGGTTCGTGTCAACGTGACAGACGCCAATGACAACCCACCCGTGTTCAGCAAAAGTGTCTACGAGGCGCGAGTGGCAGAGAATCTGCCGGCGGGGTCGCTGGTCCTGCGAGTGCAAGCCACGGATGCTGACGCGGGGGCCAATAGGCGGATCTTCTATTCCTTCAGCAACGTCCCGGACGGGATCCGTGAGTTGTTCTCTGTCGACAGCGAGAATGGCGAGATCAGGACGGCGGGTCCCCTTGATTTCGAGGAAAAGACTAAATATAGCTTCGGCCTGGTGGCAAGGGACGGCGGTGGGTTGACCGATAATTGCAAGGTACAAATAGACATCACGGACGAGAATGATAACACCCCCGAGATCACGATTCTGTCACTGTCGAGCCCTATTTCGGAGGATGCACCTGTCGGCACCGTAGTGGCCCTACTCAAAGTTCGGGACAGAGACTCCGGCGAGAACGGTGAGGTGTCGTGCGAGCTGTCGGGAGAGGCGCCGCTGTCGATCGTGGCGTCGTCGGGCGGCTCGTACAAGGTGGTGACGGCGAGCGCGCTGGACCGCGAGCAGGCGTCCGAGCACCGCGTGACGGTGGTGGCCCGGGACCGGG